GTAGAAGAAACTAAGCAAAAGTGTGGTTTCAGAAGTCTAGCCTAAGCCTGATCCCAGGAGGAGTTCTGGAGCATAAGTTGTACCATAGAGGTTGCCCTGCCCAGAGACCAGGGATCTGGGCTGCTTCCCTAAGACCCCACTCCACATCCCACATCAATCAGGTGTTACTCACAGGCAACCCCAAGGAGAGTAGAAAAGAAGGGTGGGCATAACTTCCCAGGTACCTCCAGGGAAGGCAGCAGCTGACAACTGAGAGAAATGCTCCAGAACACAGTATAGGGTGAGCTTTTAGTAGCCAACTCTTCTGATGGTGGGGAATGGGGACATTTCCCTGGTAAATAGGCTCTGGATGGTGCGCCAACAGCAAAGGCTACCGTCCCGAAGCTGGGAAATGGATGGAGAAACCAAGGCAGTGGGTGCCTGCTGACTGTTTCAAAACCAGTTTTTGTCTACTTCCCAAAGTTCTAAATGCTTTTAACCACTAAGCCACATACCCACAGATTTTACAGTTTTTACTTATCTCATTGAATTCTCCCCAAAACAGAGTTAAGCGCATTTACATTGAGAAAGAAATTGAGCTTCTGAGAATTTTAACCTAAAAATTGGTAGAGGTGAGATTCACATCCAGGTCTCCTGGCTCTACTTGATTTTTCTCTCAGGTCACCTAACTGGAAAATTTGAGGAAAATGGAGTAAAGATATTGATATCAGGGTGAACTGAAGAACCAAGGCCATTTCTTACATCAAAATACTTCAGTCAAGCATCTCAATCAGAGACAGTCTGTAGCTTTGGTCCTCACCCCTTGCTTGCCATTTGGAGAGCTCCATTGTGTTGCTTTGGTCTCTAGCTCAAGCTCAGACTTTCTAAATGAATATCTGCGAGTAAAGAACATGCTTTATCATGTGTCCCTTGTATCATGTCCCAGCCACTCTTGGCTTGAAGGTGATCTGATATAACTCTCTCTGTGCATCCTGACATTCTGGATGCCCATCATTCTTCCAGGCTCTGCCTAATAGATGCCTACGCTTTATTTCTTCCTCCCCTGTCCCACAATTGCATAGACTGCAAAGCAGCAGAGCCTGGACATTAGACCCTAAATTCCAGTTGTGGCAATCAATGGCTCTGGCGTCATGGGCAAGCCCTTTAGTGTCTGAGTTTGAGTTTCCTCCTTTGTACAATTAGTACTATGCCATTTCCTGCTTCTCAGAATTGTCACATGGATTAGAAGCAACCTATTTAAAATGCCAAGCACATAGCAGGTATGCAAAAAATGGTAGTTATTTTTATATGACAGATACACCTGCACAGGAGACAGAGACACATGGGTGCCTTCTAAGCAAGCTTCCACCACTTGGAAAGCAGATGTCAAGGCCACAGAGTGAGTTCCCAGTGTGCTTAACTCACTCCCATGACCAGTAGACAGTCTCTTGCCTGCATCTCTCTATTTCCTTCCCCCTCTTCATCACCACTGTCGTGATTCCTCAAGCTGCCCTTGTTCAGAATGCCCTGCTCTGGTTATGTCCTTTGCCTCCTGTACTCCAGCTCTACGGCAATTTCACCAAGACTTCCTGTGGACAAAACAGGGTCCTGTGGCCCACAAGGTAAGTGATCTGGTTCACAGCTTGGCCGTGCAAACTTCGAGATTTCCCATCTCTTGCTACTCCTGAGAAATGAAACATGTCTCTGTCATCTCTCACTTTCTGTGTGTGATCCTTAATTCCAACATTCCCCATCTCTGGGATAACCATCCCCCTACCGTGAGTAGTATTCCTCTATTTATTCTAAAACAATGAGTGCAGGTCCATTTCTTATGCCCAGTTTAGTCCTCTCTATCACAGGGCTAGTTGATTTCTCCCAGGGATGTTCTTGAATTCAGTGAGAATGACTGCACTGGTCAGTCTACACACAGTTAATACTACCTGCTTTCTAGCCTTTCTAGCCTTTCCATGTGTGTCTTTTTGTTTGTTTTGTTTTGTTTTTAATTTAAACACAGAACAGCCTTCCTAGCCCTTCCATATTGCTGTTGTTGTTTTTAATTTAAACACTGAAGTTAATGACTATTCGTTCTTGCATTAACATTTTCATACTCCTGAGAGCTTAATACCATGCTAAGCACATAGTAGGGGCTCAAAAGAAAAATACAATTTTAATGAGTACCTGAACTCTTGGCAGTAATCTCTGATTCCACCTCTGTAAGTAGCAGGCACCCTGAGCAATGGCCTCTTCTGCCTCACATCTCCCTTCTGCTGAGTACAGCCTCCCAGGATAGAAAGGGCAAGGCACTCTGCTCAGAGGCACATCATCATTTTTGCTAAAATGGCAAATTTTCAGGCTGTGAGCTGATAACCAAAGTGTTACCAGGGTTTCAGCATTATCCAGTTCCTGGAGGATGGGAGGGGGCTGTCCTAACTCAGGATGGGAGGGGGCTGTCCTGACTCAGAAGCATCAGGTGAAGTGAATATTCCAAATATAATAGCTGAGGTCCTGCTCAACTGCCCTCAGCCACCTCTCTGGGAGGCTGTCATCCAGAGACCCCCAGGCTGCCCCTGAGCCTGGACCAGTCCAGGCAGCAACCTCACTCCCTCAGCATCTCTCTTTGTTAACAGACTTAGTATTAGATGTGTTTGGAGAGGGATCAGGTGCCCTTCTGGCTCCCGAGTCATTGCATTTGGCTCTCTGTGCAGGTGGTCTACTGCAGGACCTCCTCTGAATTTGACAGAGCTCAGATGAGATCTAAGTGCTTGGGCTATAGGTCTGGAGTGATAGGCTCCTACTGCTTATCTCTTCCAAATGGCTGGCTTGGGTTGTACCATAAATAGATGAATAGAAATAGCTACTAGGGCCCCTGACCCTTGCCCATGGTGGACCCCATGAATGCATTTTTAGTCAAGACCCATACCTCCAAACCAACAATTATTGAATTTATACCTTCTAGTCATTTTAAACTGGATCATCCCTTACCGTCAGCTGTGTGAGCCTCAGCAGCTAGATGTGTCTCCAGTGCTTGGTCTTCCCCTCCTCCAGCCCCACCCACCACCTTTTGCCCCTACAGTGCAGGCTTTAAGCACACCATCCTTATCAGGGAACAGACATGCATAAGTATTTTGCAAAGAGCACCCTCTTATGAGTCAGAAAACACACCCTGGAGTCTCCACTCTGTCAGCCAATTCCTGGGCGAATTTGATAACTCAATTTCACCTTTGTTGGTCTCTCTTTTTTTTTTTTTTCTTTTTTTTTTTGTGGTACGCGGGCCTCTCACTGTTACGGCCTCTCCCATTGCGGAGCACAGGCTCCGGATGCGCAGGCTCAGCGGCCATGGCTCATGGGCCCAGCCGCTCCGTGGCATGTGGGATCTTCCCGGACTGGGGCACGAACCCGTGTCCCCTGCATCGGCAGGCGGACTCTCAACCACTGCACCACCAGGGAAGCCTGGTCTCTCACTTTTTCAATCTTGAATGAGTGTGATAAAAGTAAGATCCAATGATGTGCTACAGAGAGAAACACTCTGCAGATGGCAAAGTACCATGTCAACAGGAAACCTGCTATATTTCTGCCACACCCTCTGGGGAGTTGGTTGTTTAATGACAACCTTAATAAAGGAGGAGAGAAGACATTCTCTGCTGTCTGTGCAAGGCCCAGGCTGGGGCATGGGCCATGCTAAGGTCAAGCCATAGTGCAGCTGCAAAGCACAACCAAGGTGACTCATTTCCCTGGTAGCACTGCTGAGAGAACCTCAGGCTCATTCTTGCCCTTTTCCTCTGGCTCAGGCTCACCTCTTGGGGTGAAAGACATTTGGCACCAGGGAAGGAATATGTCAGGAAGAACTGTCTCTGAGTCTGGGCCTTTTCATTTGAATTTAGAAAAAATTGTGTAGGAAAAAAAAAAAAACAACAACAAAAACCTGTGCTTTGGCTTTAAGTGGACTCTGAGCTCTGGCTTATAGCCAGTGTGAACTTGCACAAGTTCCTTATCTTCTTCATGCCTATTTCTTCCTCTTTGAACTTGCTGTAATAATTCCTTCTTCCTGGGGTTGCTTGGGGGAAATTTCAATGAGTTCCTATATATAATGTCTATTTCATTCATAATAAGAAAAAATATCCAATTTATTCAATTCTGTAAAAGGCTGACTGAATGAAGAACGCATGAGAAAACTGAGGCACAGAAGGGCTTATTCTATCACTTCTAACAACCCAGTTGTTCGGGGCAGAAGTGAAACTGAAATCGGGCCTCTGGCCTCTCGAGGCAGGTGCAAGGGATTCTTTACCTTTCACCATTTGCTTTTCTCTTTTCAATTTCAACCCTTGGGAGTTTAAATTTCCTTTCACCTTCAGGACTCCAGAGTTGATTTTTAAACATACATACACCTATGTCTCAAAGTATATGGAGTATATTTATATTTCAGGAAATAGATTAATAGACTCCCAACTCCAGGAAACAGTTACCCCTTTAGTCAGGTTTTTACAAATGGGGACATGCATAGGTTTTGCAATTCCTCTTTTCTATTCTAAGTCCAGAGACCCACTGCCACCTGGGGCAAAGTACACAGCCCCAAGATCTTCTGAAGACCGATGGTTTAACTCCCTTTATTGTAGTTTCACATATTGCTGCAGTCAGAAGTAAGTGCAAGCACTCTCTGAGGCAAGACTCTTGCTGGTTAATAACTACTCCAGCTTAATTTCTTTGTAAACTTGGAGTTTACATGGGGTTAAAATTCACATTCAGGTACTTGCTGAAGTTGGGAATGGGTGAGACTATCACCTCCAAAAATAATAGGTGATCTCAATGAAGAGAAATCTCACCATGCAAGTAAAAAAATAAATCTGATGAACACAGTGAGCCATTAAAATTTTTAAAAGGTAATGAAGAAGGGAGAGAAAAACTTTTTTTTTTTAAGTAAGTAATAAAGGAATATGTGCAGTGAGTGAACACAGACAGCTATCTTGAGTTGGGGGCAAGTTAATTACATTCAAAAAAGACAGCGTCTCCAGAATTTTTTTTTGTTTTTTGCAGTGAAATATTTTAGTTCCTTCATATAGAGACATATTACACATGTTAACAACCATGAAAAACAATACAAAATGCCCTCAATTTAACAAGTAGAAAAATATAACTAGTATATATGGCAATTGTGAATCTAATACTGTACAGAAGTAATTTATGGATTTTACAAATAAATTATAGCTTAAATGCCCTTTTAAAATTCTCTTTCCCCCCTAGATGTACACTAGAACTTACAATAGGAAAGGTTCCAAGCCTAGCTTATCGCAAATCAGTGCCAGTCAAATGTTCTGCTGACAAGCTCGAAGAATTTCTTATTTGGCTCGTGAAAATATTCATGCAGTTTATTGAGGAGCTTGGGGTCGACTTGCGGGTGCGCTCGGCCTTTGGACTCATGTAAGCAGCGGTCCCGGCCGCTGTCCCGCAGGCAGTAAAAGCCCTTGGTTTTGTTAAAGTAGAAGTTCGAGGCATTGATCTGCGGCGACAGCCTCAGGAACCTCTCGACCTTTTGGATCTCGGGGAAGGGGTCCCTGATGAGGCGGTCGCCGTCCACGATGTGGATGCGGCGCAGCGAGAAGAAGCGAAGCCAGTTCTGCATGTGCACGTGGTACAGGCTGCGGTTGAGAGCCTTGTAGTCCACGTTGAGCCGGCCATCACGCACCAGGAACTCCTCGATGGACGGGTAGGGCTTGTGCTTCTGCATGTGGTTGTAGAACACTTGGGTGTAGTCGGACAGCACGCGCTCTGACGGGTCCCGCAGGATGAGCAGCAGCCGGATGGACGGGTTCATGCTGTGGACCCGCTCAGGCACTTTGGGCGACGTGAAATACGCGGGGGTCTTTTCCACCGTGAGCTGGTGCGGGGAGGAGAAGGGCATCTGGCTGAGGTACCAGCCCAGGCCTTGGCTGTAATGCTCCTCCCAGTCGAAGAAGTGCACCTCGTTCTCTGCGGCCGCCACGTCGGGATGCAGGCTGAGCATCTCCAGTAGCGCGCGTGTGCCGCCCTTGCGCACACCGATGATGATGGTCTGCGGCAGCTGCTGCGCGGAGCCGTTGGGGGCCGCGCCTTCCCAGATCTCGTCCTGCGAGGTCGCCGCTTTCCTCACAAGCTCCGGCTGGCCCAGCTCGGCCCCGGGCACGGCGGGGCGGGAAGGCACTAGCTGGAGCTGGACCACCAGCATCACCGCGCCCAAGAGCAGCGCGGCCATGCTGGACACCACGGTGGCTTCACTGGGCGGGGCGCCACTGGGTCATGAAGCGCTGCCGCGAGGGATGCCTCCAGATCAGTGACACATGGGTGTCGCAGGCTTCCAATTACTAGGAAACAAAGGGGAGAAGTATTAACCCCACATATATACTGGGCTTAATCAAGCTGCCAACTCTGTCGTCTTGGGCACGACATTCACCTCCTGGGGCTTCCTCGGTTCCTTTATCCTATGAAGCAGGGGCAGCAAACAGTTTCTGTACAGGCAAGAGAGTAAATGTTTTAGGCTTTTGGGGACATATAGTCTCTATGGCAACTCCAACTATGCTATTTTGCTCTAAAGCACCCATAGATGATACACAGAGAAATGGGTGTGCTTGTGTTCCAATAAAACTTTATTTATGGACATTGACATTTGAATTTCATATAATTTTCATGGGTCATTAAATATTCTTCTTCTTTTAATTTTTTTTCAGACATTTGTATTTTTACTGCTCTGTTGGCACTAAAACCAGGCCAAGCTTTGGCCTGCAGTCATAGTTTGCCAACATCTGCTATAAAGGAAAAGGTTGGGAAGGACTTTTGGACCTTGGCAAACATCAGAGAATATCTACTAGCTGCCAGCCCCAGGCAGAGGGGCAAGAGATATGGAAGCAGGCATTGTTTCTGCTCCCCAACCCACTAGGGGCTCCTGATTTAACAGGGCAGGTGAACCTGTTTGAAAGACTGAATGATTAACTACAATTCTTTACTCTTCCCTGAATCCAATTCTTGCTATAGCCTCTTTGTAGGGGGAGTGTACTTCCTAGCAATTTGATTTGGGTTTTTTTTTGTTTTTTTTTGCCACGAGAACATGCCCTGGCCAGCCAGCTGCTGGTCCCAGGAGGAAGACGAGAGACACCTGCAGTAGAGCTGCCCCATCAGCCCCCTGTGTGCAGCCCAGCCATCTCCCTCAGGAGTGAGAATGCATGCTTGTGGTTTTAAGCCAGTGAGTTTTGGGGTGGTTTGTATTACAGCAACAATTTGGCAAAGGTTAATTGATACAACCGGACTGCAAGCATCAGTGCGATATATGTTACGATTTTAATTTAGGCAGAGTACTGTGAGGGCCTATGTTCATTCATTTTGCCTGAAATGATTAGGGATGTCTTCCTAGTAAAGCAAATGTTTGAAGTGGGCCTAGAGGGATAAACAGGCGAGGTTATTGGAAAGAGCAAAAAACCTTCATGCATGCAAAGGTTTACTATTTATAAAGAACAGGTCTTGCAGTCTGCTCAGTGGATTGTCATTTTAACACTACAGTGTAAGGTAGAAACACAGGACAGTTATAGAAACACAAGGACCCAAAAATTTAGTCCATTTCAAAATTCACGGTCCAAATTTAAAATTCGAAATTCAGGGCTCTTCCTGTGAACTGCCTGCTTTATACCTTTTTCTCTTTAACTGAGATTTATCACATTTGGGCATTAAAGTCCCTCAGGAACACGGGCACTGCTGGGCTACATGGCATGGAGTTCCCAAAGACGCACGAGCTATGGTTGTTGTTTTTAGGAGGCTGATAAGCAGCAATCCGTGTTCGACCCTCTCCCGGAAAGAACAGATTGGAAACTCACTCTCTCTTTCTTTTTTAAGTTTATTTATATTTATTTATTTACTTTTGGCTGCGTTGGGTCTTCGTTGCTGCGCGAGGGCCTTCTCTAGTTGCCACGAGTGGGGGCTCCTCTTCGTTGTGGTGTGCAGGCTTCTCATTGCAATGGCTTTTCTTTTTGTGGAACACGGGTTCTAGGTGCACGGGCTTCAGTAGTTGTGGCTCGCGGGCTCTAGAGCGCAGGTTCAGTAGTTGTGGCGCATGGGGCTTAGTTGCTCTGTGAAAGGTGGGATCTTCCCAGACCAGGGCTCGAACCCGTGTCCTCTGCATTGGCAGGCGGATTCTTAACCACTGCACCACCAGGGAAGTCCTGGAAACTCTCTTTTAAGTAATCTCTGTCTAAACACAGTTCAGGAAGAGTTGCAGAGAGGCCCAGTTTGGGGACTATGGGATTTACAGAGCCAGAAAAATGTTTTCTATCAAGAGGGCCCATCATCTTCTTTATGCCAGGTTTAAAATTCACTTTATTAGCTTAAAACTTGTCTAGAATGTGTAAATAAAGAACAACAGGCAGGACTTCCGTGTTTATGATCAGATCAATTGATCTACCTCCCTCAGATATTAACTGTAATAGCTACTTTGTAAAATGTATATTAAAGATCAAGCAATTAAAAAGCTGAAACCTTTAGAAAAATCACAGAACACTAGAAAAGGGACTTGCCAGATCGCCTGACATACTTATTTAGGAAAAAGAAAGAGAAAAATTTAAGGAGGGATGGCCAAATAAGATGGGGCTCAAGGCTGGTCTTACTGATTGGATGAGCCCAATTTAATGGGCCATTTGCTTCAGTCAAATGAACGTTTTAGTATGTTTCAGTGAAATTCTATTTCCTTCTCAACTGCCCATGTGGGTTGACCAAAGGGATCAGCTGTGCTTGCTTTTTACATGTTTGGGGTATGTGTGTGCAGGTGCAAATGTATGCTTGTGTGTGTCTATGTATGTATGTGTGTACACACGTGTGTGTGTGTGCGCGCACATGTATGTGTGTGTGGGGTGGGTGAAGTGATGGAGAGAGTAGCTTCCCCATACTAAACTGCTATACTCTCTGCGGTGGGCATTGTCATCGCCAACATACAGCTCTGCATCCAGACTTAGGAAACAACCTGATCCTGCAACATCTAAGGGTTAGAGTCAGAGCCCAGATCTGAGATTCATATTATCTGACTATTCATGCTCTTTCCATTCTATTATGAGGCATCTTGATTAGCACAGTGCACATCTGAGATCTTTTTCCTAAAGGGAAATTACCAGCAGACAGCAGAAAAAAGAAACTAAATATCGTTTGTCCTTTACAAAAACAAAGCAAAAAACAAAAACAAAAACCCTCCAAAACGACCAAAAAACTGGACAGTTTGTAGTTTAAAAGCTCCTCATTTATAATGTAATAGTTTCTAAAATGTATATTTACTTATTCTAAGCCATCTACATTACATTCCAAAAATATTTGAGGTATATGGAAAAAAAAATCTTAGCTAAAGTCTCATATGTACACGTGTGTGTGTGTATGAAATTTTAGCTAAGTTTTATGTATATATATATATACACATATATATTATGTATATATACACGCATATATTTGTACATCTAAATATATATAAAATGTAGATACACACACACACAGTGGCCATTGAGAGCCAAGCTGTTCCTGTTGTAGTTTGATAATGTGAATTTCTCAGTGGTACAGATAGACTTTTTGTGCCTTTTGGTAACATTCTCAGAAAAGGAAAGATCCCCAAGCTCAGGTGAACCTGTAAGCCAGGACATCTGGGCCAGCTGATCTTGACAATGGAATTATGAGCATCAGAGCATCATGTCACTAAGTCCGTTTTTTTCATTTTATGGGTGAGGAGGCCCTGAGGTGACAGGCCCAAGATCAGGTAGAAAATCAGAGCCTAGAACTTGTGGATCCTGAGTTCTAGTTCTGTACTCTCTGCTATTATTGCTCTCTCCCTAGCATGTGGTCTTAAAACAATGGCAGTGTTTTGGGGATCCTAAAGAAGAAAGCCCCCCGAAAAAACCTACCTAGCAGTGACAAGCCCTGGCTGCCAACTCCAGAATCAGCTGGTACACAGGGGATATACATATAGCACGTGGGTGAAACTCATTCATTTGTTCTACTCAGTAGAAGAGTTAAAGGAATCACACAGGCTATGGAGTCAGGAATCCTGTCTCCAGTTTTGACTTTGGTCCAAGTGCCGTAACCTCTCTTAGCCTCAGTTTCCTCATCTGTAAAGTGGTAATAATTCCACTTGCCTCAAATGGCTACTTTGGGACTGAAGTGAGATGGGTTATCAGCACTGTCCTATAGAAATGTAACGTGAAGCACATATGCACTTTTTGTTCCAATTATCAAACAAATATTTACTGAATTCATGCTACATAGCTAGCATTTTAGCTAAGCTATGAGATGAATTCCCCACTTTCACCAATACTTTCTCCCCTCCATTATGCCAACCACGGTGCCTTCCCCATAGGAGTTATGCAGCAGATGAGTTGTGTAAATAAAAAGTGTAACACACAGTTTTACTACACTTGGAGAAAAAACTCAAATCTCCTTAGGCGATCAAGAGATGCTCAGGAAAGTAACAGCAACTCCCCTCAAAGGTGATAGCAGCCACTATTTATTTATGTCCCTGACAGTTATATCTTGCCCTAAGACAGATCATGTCTTATTGTTACTTTTATTATAGGTTTTAAAATGACCCACATATGCACTTGTACATTTTCCAGGAGCCCCTTTTTAAAAAGGCATCTTTTATGTAAGCCAGTATTTCCAAAATGTTATCACTCCAACACATAATCACTATATAAAATTAAGGAGATATTTTGCATTTTTTTTGTTTTCAAAATCCAGTGTGTATACATTTACTCTTACAGGACATCTCAAGGCCACATGTGGCTACTGGCAACTGAGGTGGACAGCAGAGAGATATTAGAACACTGAGCAGGGTTGCAATTCTTACTCTGAAATCTCTTTAATTGTGGAAAGTGCTTTCTTAATAAGTAAGATACTCTACCCCATTCACAAATTAGGAGCTTCCCAAACAGGAAAAGGACCAGGAAGGCAAGTTTGAACTTGCAAGCAGCACAAAGATAAATTGATTATTCTCCCTCTGGAAGTAAACTAGGTACTATCAAAGGAATCTTCTGAAAGTCTGGAGCCCTGAGCTGGCACAGGCACAGACAAAGACTGTTCAACAGAACGTGGAACCCGAGCCACATTCCTCCCAAAAGCAATGATGGCAGCTGCCATCTGCAGCCCTCGCTACTAAGCGGACACTAGGCTGGCAACTTTGCACACAGGACCCCTGTGATGCTCACTGCATTCTCGATAGAACTGATATCATTATAAGAAAGTGAGGCTCAGAGAAACAGAGTGGTTTGTCTAGAAAGTTAGAGGCAGTACTAGGACTCAAACTCAGTCTGAGCAGGAAAAGCCAGGAACCTCACCACCCCTTACACTA